AAACAAAACAAAACAAAACACGTTTCTCTTTGGGGCCAGCAGGTGACATGTTGGTTAAGGCACTAGACTTGCACATAGCCAACCAGGGTTCAAGTCCTGGACTTTGTGGCTTGAAAATTACACTGGGTGCACCTGTGTGCACCCAAATTCCTGAGCGGAGATTGGAGGAGAAGGGATTGCAGTGTGGCCATACCCCCTGGGGGTTGATTTCTCACTGTCTCTGTCTGTCTCTTCAGTGAGCATGTGCACCCCGTGGCAAAACCTTAAAAAAAAAAAAAAGAGTTTCTCTTTACTGTTGGTTTTGAGCAAATAGATTTTGGTGTTGTTTTCTTGGTGTTTCTCGTGAACAGGGTTTATTAGGCTTCTTAGTTACTTAGGCTTGTAGTTTTCAACTTTGCTATTATTTCTTCAAATGACTTTTTTCTGTTTCCAACTTCACCTCTGGAATTTTCTCTCTCTGGTCCTCCACTTTGTGAAATCCAGTCACCTTTGGCTTCTTGAACTCCTAACTCCATCTCCTCATGGCAGGCAGCCTCCAAAGCTCCTCCTGGGTTCCTTTCCCCAGGGCCAGACCCTGGAAACTCTCCTCATATGGCATATGCCTGCGCACATGCCCTGTAGCAATTTTTTAAAAAATGGAATTAGAGGGGGCTGGCAGGTGGTGTGGTGGTTAAGGCGCTGGACTCCCACACAGCCAACCATGATTCAAGCCCTGGCCCCGGAGTCTTGCTTTCTCACTTTCTCTCTCTCTCTGGTCAAATGAAAAAATAATGATGATAAATAAAATTATATAAGTAATTTTAAAAATGGAATTAGATATGTGGCCTTTTGTGTCTGACTTCTTCCACTTGGCATTCCACTTGGCATTCCATTGTCAAAAAGAGACGTTTTGTTTATCTTTTATGATTAATGATGCTACAAACACTGTGCAAGTCTTTGTGTGGACATACATTTTTATTCTCCTGGGTGTGTACCTGAGAGTGGAATTGCTGGGTCAAATGTCAAATTTACATTTAACTTTTTACTATTTTTATTTTGATTGTATTAGGATTTTTGCCATAGGGCACATGCACTTGCCAAAAAGAGACAGAAAAAAATGGAAAGTTAGAAATTATCCCCCAGGGGGGGATGGCCATGCTGCAATCCCTTCTCCTCCATTTTCCTCTCAGGATTTTGGGCACACATGCACACATGCCCATTATGAGTTTCAAGTCACAGGATCTGGGACTTGAATCACAGTAGGCCTGTCCAGTGCCTTAACCACCACACCCACCACCTGCTGGTCCCTACAGTTAACTTTTAAAGAAACTGCCAAACCATTTTCCAAAGCAGCTTCCCAATAGCAATATTTGAGGAGTGTGATTTCTCCACATCCTTACCAACACGTATTTCTGTCTTCAACTATAACCATTGAAGTGGGGGGAGAATGGTATCTTGCATTGGTTTGAATTTGCATTTCCCTAATGTGAGTACCTTTTCATGTGCTCATTAGCCACTTGGGTATTTTCTTTTGCAAAATGTCTTCAAATCTTTTGCCCATTTTTTAAATCGAGTAGCTAATTTCTTATTATAAAGCCATAATAGTTCTTTAGATATTCTGTTTTATATATTTGTCAGGTATGTGATTTGCAAATATCTTTTTCCAGGCTGTGTCCTGTCTGTCGCTGTGAGTGTATGCACCTTGGAAATTTACCTATGGAATTTTCCGAGGCCTGGATGGAAATTACATTGCTCCAGAGATGGATTGTGTTTGCTTCTGCTAGTCACTCGGGGCACTGTGCATGACCCAGGTGCTTCCCTCCCCACGTCTGCATTCCAGACAGCAGGAGAAAGCTCAAGGGGGAGGCAGGACACACTACTCTCAGTGCAAGCGAGGAAGTTGCATGCACTCCACTCCCAATCCCACAATTTAATCGTATGGTCATATCTAGCTTTAAGGTGGCCTGGGAAATGTGGCTTTTAGTTGGAGGTGGAGCCTAGTGAAAAATCCTGTGCAAAAAATAGTGACACAAGGAACTACCCCATAGCACAGTGGTTAGCTGGATCCACATCAACCAAGCAGTTCTAACCGCAGTTCTGGTGGCTTGAAAAACACACGGGGGACCCAAATCTCAGTGGGATGGAGAAATGGAGAAGGAATTGTAGCATGACCACATCTCATGGGGGGTGTGTGTGTGTGTGCTTTCTCTGTCTCTCTCTCTCTCTCTATCTCTTTTCTCTGTTTCTCTCTGGCAAATGCACACACCTTCTGGCAATTAAAAAAAATGTTATTGCACATCTAGTAAATGACAAGGATCCACGTTTGAACTCAAGCCTCTATGACTCCAAAGCTTTGCTTTACGTTACCCTGCCTTCCCTAGAAGAACCCAGCAGGGCATTATTATTATCATCATTATTATTAATGAGTGGTTACAAATTCCTAAGAAGTCTCAGGTCCCCAGGAGACAAATGGCAGAGCCAGGGCTTACACCTGGATCTTCCCCAAGGATCATCTTCCTGCTGCACCAGTCCACCTCTCGGATTATCCCTGGGAAGAACATTTTCCTGGTCATCTGAGTGGCATTGTACTCCAGTGTTCTTCCAGGGAGCCAGTAGTCACCCTCCCAAACTTCATCTGCTCTCTTTCCAGAGAACTAACGTTGCCCCGTGGTCTGACACACAACTTCGCTAGCCTGCTTTGTGGCTCTCGTCCCAATTCTGTGGCCTCCTGAGCACCCTGTGGACCATCAGGCGGGAAGCCTGGGTGGGAGAGAGAACCACTCTGCCAGGGCCAGACTGCGGAGGAGAGTGCCCTGCTGGGATGCTCATTGCGGAGGCCAGGCAGGAAATGCCACTGGCCTCGAGGCTGCGCAGAAGCATCTATTTTGGCTGGGAGGGTGCCTGAGCATGAAAATGGTTGAGTTTCTTTTTCTTTCCCTGGAAGCCTGTTGCAGGGGTTGAGAATCACTAGATGAGAGAGATGCCTGATAACCGCGGAAGCAGACTTCTGTTCTTGGAATTCTCCGTGGCGGTACTGTGCGTATGCGCGTTGGCTTCTCCCCATCTCATTTTGTCTCACGCGTACTGTCATGTCTGTTTCATGGGTGGTTAGAGTCTCCCTAACCAGCGAAGACAGGTCACATTCAGTGCTGAGCGAAAAGTCTAGTGAAGAGGCCAGCAAGTGGTGTGGTGGTTAAGGGGCTGGATCCCTAGTGGCCAACTGCACAGTTTGAATCCCAGACCTGGTGGCTTGAAAATCATGTTAAGCACATGTGTATATGTGCCCAAAATCCTGAGAGGAGAATGGAGGAGAAGGGATTGCAGCATGGCCAAGACTCCAGGATTGGGGGATGGTTTCTCACATCCCCTCCCTCACTCTCTCTCCCATCAGCGAGCACACGTGCCCTTTGGGGAAAAAAAAAAAAACTAAATAACTAAATCAATAAAAGGTTAGTAAGATTGACTTCATGTGGGAGAAACATCAAAGTGAAAAATGAAACAATTGAAGCTGCTTAAAACCATAAATAGCTTTGCATGTGTACATGTGTACAGAAGAGGTACTCATGTCTTCTTCCCATGTTCATTGAATTGTTTGATTATTTGTAAAATCTGAGGCCGTGCCGAAGTTTACTTATCTCAGAGGAAAGGTCTAAAATTTGAGTAATTCATCAATCACCAGCATCTGAAATCTATCCTCTGAGACAGCATCTGAGGGGCCAAGTGTCAGCTCAGTGGTAGTGCAGCAGGACCTCATGACAGAGGTCCTGGGTTCACATCCTGGGACCTCCTTGAACAGGCCGGGCCCTGGTGCATGTCCGTGACGGAGGCTGGCTAAGAGTGGGGGCAGGGCACAGCCTGAGAACACTGTGAAGGATCTCTCTCTCTCTTTCTGTCTCTCTTGGGAGAAATAAATAAACTTTTAAAATAGACAGCATTAGAGTTAGTGCTATTGAGCTATGAGAGAAATACAAAAGAAAGAGAAGACAGGGACCAGAAGATGGCGTAATGGCTATGTCACTAGAATCCCATGTAGTCAACTGGGTTTGAATCCCGGACCCGGTGGCTTAAACTCATGCTGGGCATGTGTGCATGCATTCCCAAGATCCTGAGAGGAGAATGGAGGAGAAGGGATTGCAGCATGGTCACCCCGCTGGGGGGTGATTTCTTGCTTTCTGTCTCTCTGTCTCTCTCTGTCTCTTGGACAACTGCACATACCCTATAGCAAAAATCTCTATAAACAAAAAGAAAGAAAGAAAAGGGAGAGGACACTGTTGAGTTCAGCAAATATGCAGGGGGCACTCACCGTGTGGCAGGCACTATTCCGGGCTCCATGAAGAAAACAGCCACTTCCCTCTAAGGAACTGTGGTCTCATGCCAGAGAAAGTCATGCCCACATGTAATTGCAGCAGAAGACACTGATGCCCTGGCAGGAGTGTGAAAGGCCTGTGGAGGCAGATCTGAGGTGAGAACACCGCTGAGTTCCCAGAGACGTCTGAGCACAGGTCAGAAGCGAAAATGCAGAAAGGGCAGCCCGGCCTCGGGCCCGGCATGTGTCAGGGAGGAGCTGTGGAGGTCACTGGCCCGTGTGAAGGGTGTAAATGCCTCGATGTGATCGAGGGCACACAGAGGGGGGTGGGGGGCAAGGTGACATGTGCGGAAACATGGCTGGCCTTCCCTGCTGGCTTCTCTCAGCCTGCCCTGCAGGCTGACTTTGCTGGGCTGTATCCCTCAGGTGCAGCCCACAGGAGGTACCAGCTGATGAGACCACAGACAGAGACTGAGGCTGGGACCGTCACTCCTGCCAGCTCCCTCCCTTCTCTCGGAAGCCGTGGCTCCCACCAGGTTTGGCTAACAGTGATCTCCCCTCTTGCCTCTTTAGGCCTCGGGCTGGGAACAGCTTCTCCACTGGCTCCTTCAACCTTGCTGAGCCCTCTGTAAATAGCCCCCCATTAGCCTCATGGTTGGCCTTTGGGTGGGCCATCTGTCTCTCATGGGGCCCAGGGCTGCCTCATGCCAGCTTCTCAGAGCTCCTTCCAGTTTTGCTTTATTTACAATGATGGCGGCAAACTGCTTTGAACTCCTAAAAATTATAAACTAAAATAGGCCAGACAAAACACACCTAGCCTATAATTTCATTTATATGAAACTTTCCAGAAATGATACATCGATAGAGATGGAGAGATTAGGGGTTGCTGGGACTGGGCCTAAGTGCAAGGTGATTACTCGCGGCCACGAGGGGCCTTCTCAGGGTGATGGATGGTGGCAGGGTAAATACGTTAACCATGGTTACATTTACATATCTTTACATGTATTACACATTATTGAACTGTACAGTTAAAAAGGGTACATTTTATGATGTGTAAAGTATATCTCAATAAAGCTGTTGAGATTATCAGAAAAGTCATGATATATTTTTTCTATGCAAAACTGCATCATGGTTTTTCCAACAACCCAATATTTTGTGTTGAGATTATAAACAAAAGAAGAGAATGAAGAAAGAAGGGATTGCAGTGTGGTCATCCCCCTGGGACGGAGGGTTGATTTCTCACTTTCTCTCTGTCTCTTTCTGTCTCTCCAGCAAGCACACATTCCCTATAGCAAAAATCTCTCTTAACCGCCCCCCCCAAACATGCCAGATATATGCACGTGTGGGACCAGAACCCCAATGGAAAGGAGGAATGGAGAAGAAGGGGTTGCGGTGTGACCAGGCCCTGCTGGAAGCGCTTGCTTTCTCTCTTTCTCCCGCGCTCTTGTGAGTAGACACACCATGGGGTAATAAAAGAAAGCAGAGAAAATTAAATTAAATTAAAATGATCATTTTCTCGTGCCCCCTTTATTTGTTTGCATTGGACAGTTATGGAAGCAAGAACATTACTAACATCGCATGCTCGCCGTGGTCCATGTGCTGTGTTAGACACATGATCCCATTCGGTCCTCACCACAGCCCATGAGGAAGGTGCTATTATTATCCACCTTTTACTGCTGAGAAACCCGAAGCTCAGAGGGATCAACTGATGAGCCGTGAACGCTTGATTTTCTGCCTTACTGTAGTCTTGCCTCTCCTAACGTCTGCTAAATAGTTGATCAGGTCAATAACCTATACAGTACTTAACTCTTATAACCTAAAAATGTGATTGGCTAGCTGCGGTGGCCCAGCAGTAACACAATGCTCCTATGATGCTGACGTCATATACAAAGGTCCCGGGTTGGCATCCCGAGGTCTCCCTGTGCACTCTGGGCCCACACACATCTGCCCATGACCCTGGTTGGCTGGGGCTGGGGGTAGGATCATGGCATAAAGACCCTGCTGAGGGTACCTCTCTCTCTCTCTCCCTCTCTCTCTGTATCTCTGTATCCCTCTTTCATGGAAGAAACTTTTTTTTTTTTTTTGCTATGGAGCTAGTGGGCTCGCCAGAGAGAGACAGAGAAAGAAGAATAGTGAGAAATCACACCCCCTCCCCAGGGATACACAATGCAATCCCTTCTCCTCCATTCTTCTGTCAGGATCTTAGGGGCATGCGTGCATGCACACACGCACACGCACACGCACACACGCACACACGCACACGCACAACCCTACGAGTGATTTTTCAGGCCTCTAGATCTGAGACTCAAAGCCTGAAGTCAGTCCTGTGGGATCCAGCACCTTAACCACCCTACCACCTGCTGGCCCCCATCATTCTTATTTTAATTTTCATTCATTAACTACTAGAAAGTTTTTTTTTTTTCTATTCCAGTTAAATTTCCTCATTCCTCATTTGACTATCTGTCTGCCCCTTTGTTTGTGGGTATTTTAATGATTTTTCTTCTCAGTGTTTGTGAAGTCGTTCATAAACATATTAACCCCTCATGCTTTGTTTTAGCGAAAAATGTCTTCCCATTTGCCTGATTATTTACTTATTTCACAAACTGACTTTACGTGTTCTTACTTAGTGAAATCCACTGCTCTTTTCCTTTGTAATTTTTCCGTTGCTTCTAGACCTTCAAAGCCATCCCTCTTTAAGGTTTGTGTAATATTGTTGTATTTTCTCCTGTTTTTTTCTATAGTAGAATTTGTTTTACGTGTAAGAACAAGCCATCGTGTATTTTAGTGTATTGTTTGCGGTGTGGGTCTCAATTACTCTCTCCTTAAACTGTTACCCAACCTTTCCACTGCCAACCATTGCTCCTTCCACACTGTTTGGAGTTACTGCCTTACCATGCATTCTTTTTTTTTTTTTAGAGAGAGAGAGAGATTTGCTATAGAGTGCATGCACTTTCTGAAGAGACATAAAACGAGAAATCCCCCCCAGGGGGATGGCCACACCGCAATCCCTTCTCCTCCATTCTCCTTTCAGAATTTTGGGCACACACGCACACATGCCCAGCATGAGTTTTAAGCAGCCAGGTCCGGGATTAGAACCTAGGTCAACTATGTGTGAGTCCAGCGATGTAACCAGTTAACCAGTATGCCATCTGCTGGTCCCCCTTTATCATCTCTTCCTATAATAGTGTGGCCCCCAGAGCCACACTATTTTAGTAAGCATTGTTTGATATGCATTTGTATCTGGGAGGCCTACAAAGTCTCACCTGGTCATCCAGGAAGGTGGGACCTCCTTACAGGGCACCAGGCAAACAGCTGGAAACAGGAGCCAGGTGCTCAGCGCAGAACACGGGGGAGGAGTGGAGGGTATTGTCTTAGGTTGTCAGGAAAACCATGGCGGATTTTTCTGTTTTGCTATGCAAAAATGTGTCATGACTTTCCTGATGATGACTTAACAACTCCTAACGATACTGGGGGTACTGAGATCCCACAAGAGAAGAGTTAGAGTGAACAAGAAGCCTGGCCCCGAAATGGTCAGAACTAAAGGGCCAGGAAAGCCTTTCCTTTCAGTGTGTGAAGAAGAAGCTCTGAGCAATGAGATTGAGCCTTTCGCCCACACTCACAGAGGTGGTTGGTGGCAGAGCTGAGATCAGACCTGGGTCTGCTGACTGCTGGTCAGGGAGCCCTCCACATTCCCCAAGGAAGAGACATTCACAGGAGGGGAGACCACGTGGGGTGCCTCATGTGGGAAGGCTTAGCAACTGTGAAAGGGGCCCAGAGCTGAGGGCCCCCTACGAAGTCCTTCCACACCTCGCATCTACTTTTGATCTTCACTCCACCCCCCGACAGGTCCCGTGCAAAGCCTACTACAAATGGCCCTCTACTGACCAGTCAGGTCAACAGCCTCCTTTCTGTCTCGAATGTCCCTGCTGATGCTGCAGTGACTCACCACCACACTTCTGTTCTCAACAGAGGAGTGGAACCCTTACGAAGGACCAATTACTCATGCCCCAGACCTATTTATGCCATGTCACTTACTTGACACTGTAATTACGTAATTTAACAAAGCGCATACGCCAAAGGAGTGCAGCGTGGAACAAAAGGAAATTGTCGCTGTTTGATGACAATCACGCCACTTTGGGAAGAATCAACAAAGATGAATCACTAGAAAAGCTCGCTGAATGAGGTGGGGCGAGGTAACTGTGAAAAACAGGAGGAGCTTTGGATAAATCTAGAAAGATTCTGCCCTCAGCTTTGCTTCACGTGTAACGGGTTTTCTATTCTCTTCATCAAAACAGAAACTGGAAATAAGTGGGTAGTTCATGCAAGACAGACGAGCATTTTCATCACAGGGCTGTTTTTAAAGAAAAGACTTTGGATCCAGAATGATCACATGTATCCCATGTTATGATTGATCACCTTGACCATACTTTTCCCTAGTCAGCCCACTGCCAACCCAATCACACAGGGCCTTCTGTTGATATAATATGAAGTCATCTCCATCTTCAGACGAATCGTCCAGGCTCTGAGCAGCATGATCAGAATCCAAGAGAGAGGCACATCAGACATGTACTGGTGTAGACATGGGCTTAGAAAGTTTCACCTGATCATCCAGGGGGAGGTGGGCCCTCCTCCTTACAGGGCACCAGGCAAACAGCTGGAAACAGGATCCAGGTGCTCAGCCCAGAACACGGGGGAGGAGCGGAGGGTATTCTCTTAGGTTGTGGGGAAAGCCATGGCAGATTTTTCTGTTTTGCTATGCAAAAATGTGTCATGACTCTCCCAATGACTTAATACAACTCCTAATGATACTGGGTGTACTGAGATCCCCCAAGAGAAGAGTTAGAGTGAACAGGAAGTTAGAGTGTAGATGTGGGCCAGTGTAGACATGGGCTGGTGTAGACATGAGCCAGTGTAGACACGGGCCAGGTAGACATGGGCTGGTATAGACATAGCCGGTGTAAACCTAGGCTAGTGCAGACATGGGCCAGCCAGTGTAGACATGAGCTGGTGGAGAAGTTGGCCAGCGTAAAATG